CCAGGATAACATCCACCCCCTTTGCAGCAAGGGTACGTGCTTGACTCAATAGAACCTCAGTAGAGATTGTGCTGAAGTCCCCTAGAAATGGTGAAGTTAAGCCATTCTGAACACAGGTATCAGCAAGTCATTCATTTTGCATGAGCTATACTAAGAAAATAGGTAAGAATATGTTAAGAAAATAGGGGACATGAGCAGCACATATCCCAGCAACAGCTTCAACAGGAATTCTAATAAACCGACAAGAAAAATCTTCTTTATGAGGCATGACATCTACACATTTTTATGTATCCAGGATCTATTGTTACACATCTGCAGGCACCCCAATTAACAAAGCTGCAGGGTGTATATCCCATAGGGACCCTGCTTCATACCCTCTCTGTCCTCAGGACTTTGACACTCTACAAAGAATCACAGATTTATTCAGCCACAGAAGGGAAAACTTTAGTACAACTATGAGTGGGTCACTCTTTCATATATTCCATTCTGCATCATATCCTATATTAAATCTACATTGGATACAATAGGAAAAATATGGAAAAGCACTCTTTTTAAGTGTGCCATAAATACTGATTCAAGGTGTGATGAATCCATGTCCTTGCAAGTTAAGCAAGATAACTAGAATCATCAGTGGTACAAGAGGACGTATCTGAGTTCCTTTATCATAACACCATCCCCAGTGAGTGCTCCAAATTTTTATGATTTTTACAATTATAGGGAATCCCAGGCCAACACATGAATGTCTCCTGCACTGTTTTAAAGTAATGACACATCCCATGAGCAATTTTCATAGAAATTAATGAGTTCCCTAATTTTAGGAGGTATTCCAGGCAGTTTTCAATGGAAGCAGTTATCCACCTGCACCCAAGAAATAGTCAGAAATTAAGACTTGGACCTTTCTTCATCATTGTTATTACTGTCCTACATGGGTCCTTCCACAGTAAGAAGCTATTATGAACCTCACTCTGAGGCTGTAGCACCCTCCGTTTACTGCAGATACTTTTTGGTACATATTTTTGGATTTTATTCAGGAAGTCTGAGCAACCAGACTCCAGTATTTTCTGTACCCTTCCAGCTTTTACAGAGCTTCTGAGGATAAAATAAATAAATAACTTTTAAAAATCATAGACTAGGTATAGGGAGGGGGGAATGTGTGTGTGATACAAGGGTACCATAATACAACAAGAAATAGACTGGAGTCAACAGGAGTCATCCAGGCAACCCTCTGATCAAGAGCAGGATCAATAATATCTAAACTAGTCCTGGTGTATTCATCTGTTAAACATTAATTGAAAGAAACATAGAAAGCTATGTGGTCTTAATTATGCCATGGAATCTCCAGCAGGGAAGAATTAGGCCCAATGCCTGAAATAATTCCTCTCTTTAACAAGTTGTTTGGGGTTTTTTTAATAAATACTTTCAAAGTCACTCTGACATACTCACCAGCACTTATAGCTTTGAGGGTGGAGTCAATTAAAAGGTTTCTTTCCACATTCCTTAAATCTCCAGGTCTTTTCAGACAGATTACACTTTAAATGCCCTTAAGATTAACAACAGATTCCAAACTCAAGTTCATTTAAGTACCTCTTAAAATGTTCTGAACCACTGGATTGTCACTTTTTCTACTGGGGTCAATTTGTATATGAAAAGTTGAAATGACTGTTGAATGTTACCCTAATGATCTGAAGCAATAAACCCGAATGAACTAAGTCATTGTTAGATTCAATAAATTTGATGACAAATTGTACATTTGGGGGTCCTGACCTTATCCACTGGTAATGTAGCAATCCAAGAATATGTTCAATTTACTGGAATAAATTGCTGTAGTTGTCTTAGATCTGCCTTACAAAAGTATTTTACAGACTTTATTTAAGAATTTATAAGGTTCAAAATTTTCTCCCCTATTGAAGGAACGAAAGGATCTTTTTTTTTTTTTTAAAATTGTTAGATTTCATATGACTTCATCAGTTCTTTCATATGTGATGGCTCGGAGCACACACAGCCAGAGCTGGCTGAGGCAGGGCAGCTGCAGACTGCCTCAACCCTAGCTTGGCAGGTGACACTGAATGGCTACAGTAGCCCTTTTCAGCAAAAGCCTGCAGATCTCTCACCCCTTCCTCTCATGAACAAACTGCACCTCAGATATTCTCCCCAGACTAGTTTTCCCCCCATTAATAATCTGAGGCAAGAACAGCCTACTAAGGCTGAGGATAGTCTGATCTCTGGCAGCCCAACACTGTAAGAAACATTCCCTCTGCCATTAAGAGTCTCTCTCTTTTTTTTTTTTTTTTTTTTTTTTTTTTTTTTTTTTTTTTTTTTTTTTTTTTTTTTTTTTTTTTTTTTTTTTTTTTTTAATTTAAACCCACTTCCATGTATTCAAAATTGATCTTCAATTAGGCCAAGAGATGTAGGCACAATGTTGTATTAGTATGCAGACTGAAGAACTGATATAAATGTAATGAAGTTTTTCTGCTTTTCTACTTCTGTTTCTTCTGTTTATCAAAAGATGGGAACATGCTTCTTGGCTTACTGGGAACATCCTTATTGGCTGGCTAGGTACTGTGACTACCAACTTCCTCTCATAATCACTGACTGTAACAACAGAGAGGTGTAGCTCCTCAGCGTGCATCATGCTTTGTTTCTAGCTGTGCTTTTACACTTAGGATACTTGCATATTTTGAAAGCTGAGTACTCAGGCTATGCAGTGACTGTAGTGTCTGCACACTTTCCTTGGATTGGTCATTTTAACTCTATTGCTTCTACTAGGTCATAGAAAAAGGGATAGAAATAAAAGGATCATCTAGACTGTGGTGTCCAAACCATCACATAGACATATCCCTCCTTCAGGGAAGATTATCCATTCACAAACATTCTGGAGACATACTGGACAATTCTGAACACATGCTGTTTGCCATTTCTGAGTATGTATGGCCTTACTGTCTTTAAGAATCATTCAGTAACAAGTCAAACACCTTAAAGTAATGGAAGTGTACTATGTTGATAGTATCGTTTTAATCAATGCCTTTTTCTTACAAATTATGCAAAAGTAATCACGTAATATGCAAAATTTTTTTAACAATGTGACTGAGTTTGACAGGACAAGACCAGTGAGAGATCTGTTAAAGGAAGAGATATCTAAAAATATTTTCTCTGTGAACAGTTTGCACTGACAATGTTACTGGAACATTATAAAGTTTGGTTATTCTCTGCTTTAAAAGGCATTCTGCATAGAGATAGCTTGAAATAACATACAAACTAAGGGTTTTCATGGTCGGAATTCAATATTCCTGCCTGCAATATTTTGTCCCCATTATATTTGATCATTCTGATCTTCAGAATGCAAAATAGCTAACTCTGGTTTCTCAGACTTATGGCAGAGACTAACATTTACATAAAAGCTCAAAAATTTCACTCGGGCTTAGTGTTTGCACAAAAGTCAATGTGCCTCAGACCCCAGGAAAAGTACCTAAATCTTTGCAACATCTTTTAATCATTCACCTCTTTAATAGCTTCTTCTGATAAATTTTCAAGCATTTTCCATTTCTTCTATCAGAGTTAAAATGAGTAAGTGTAAAATTAGCGCAATATTGAGCAGACAATGTAGTGGCAATTCCCATGATGCTCTAATATTTCAGTATCCTGTCACCATTTTGCCCGTTTCAGAGGAACTGTATGCAACTGTGAGATCCATTAATGTTATATCCAGAATTTTAAAAACCTCATTGAGAGGATTTTTTCTTCAAAGTGGCCTCAGAGAGATAAATTAATAGGATGTATTGGTTAACCCAGTTATAAAACATCACAGTCACTAGGACATTAAACAATTGAGTGATAACATCTTTGTCCCTATGCATATACTAGTCTAAAGCTTTGCCTTGGTATCTTACAAATAAGCTGCATACCTAGAAATATGTCTTGCTTTACAGGTTTGGGGTTTTTTTCAGTTTAATTCTTCATAACCATAAGGAAAACCACATTCACCCCTCCTTTTTTGTGACCTAAATGTGTCAAAGATCCTCAGCCCTGTGATATTTATTTCTTCTGAAAACACGAAGTTATGCTATTGTCAGTTATGGAATGATCACTCTCAAACTTTACAAACTGGTGCTAGCTTTTAAAAGTCATCAAAATTTTGAAAAAGTTTCTTCTTACTTATAATTAAACACAAGTTACAGCACCTCCTGCTCCCATGTGCATTCTTTTTTTTAGTATTTAAAACTGCAGCCCTTTCACTGATCCCTGACAAAGCAACTATATAAAAGAACACCTCTGCCTCCAACATAAAGGTATTTTGCATGTGACAAAAGCTTCCACCTGTGCATCTGAAAAATTTAAGAATGGTGGTTTACTTCTCTGGATGCAAATGCATTATAACATAATAGCCATCAACAATTCCAGCTATCCCTGACTTTTGATGAAGATACAGCACAGCAGTGTGCGGGCTAAGCAGAAAAAGGGATGTCTGTCTGCCCTGGGCAGTACCACTACCACCAGCCACATAACCAGGGAGGAAAACACTTTGCTGCCAGAAACAACTTGGTGCAGGCACCGCGCTGAGCCCGTGAGAGGGCCAAGCACCAGCAGGGGCGGTGGGACACGGCCACTTTTCCCACGGATATTCCCTGTGGAGCAGGCAAGCTCGGAGGTGCACAGGCTCAAAAGCCATCTTTCTGCAGCGACGGCGAGAAGGGTGCAGGGGATCCAGCACCACGATCCTACGGCATATTCTGCCTGTCGGCTCCATCTCGCTCTTCCTGCCTTCTCTGGGGCCTCAGGCCCTGAGCTGGCGGGTTGCAAAACTCCCCTGTACAAACACGCAAGCTGCAGGAAGGGCAAAGTCCTGCGGGTGTGGGGGCGGAGACCTTTTTACTCTTCCTCCTCCTCGCCTGAAAAGAAGGAAACTCGGAGAGCACGGTGATTACAGCAAACAAAAACACCGGACCCTGCCCCGCCACCCCCGCTTTTCCGCCGCGCCGCCGGCACTGCGCACGCCCGGCGCGGCCGCCGCCCCGCATGGAGGAAGAGGAGGATGAGGATGGAGGAGGCCCGGGAGCCGCGAGGTGTCCGGCGCCGTCCGGGCGCTTCGTGCGCTGCCTCTACGCGGTGGGATTCCTGGTGAGCGGGGAGGCGGCGGGAGGGCCGCGGGGCCTTCCCACGGGGCCGGGGAGGGGAGTGCTCTCCGCTCCAGATGAAGGCTGCTGGGTTTCCGGGGTACATCGCTGCAGCTGCTCCTCGGGGGGTTGGGATGTTTGTAGCGATAGTGGTGTGTAGCGGCTGTGCTGTTTTAGCCGGGCGAACAGCCCTGCAGTTTGATACACGAGTCGTATTTTTATCCTGTGGGTGCCGTGGAATAGCGCAGCGCCCTTAAAGGTGAGCCTTGCCTTGTGCGAAGAGAGCTGTCCCTGTGAAATACCCATGATTGATGTAAACTTATAAAATAAAGTAAAAATAATAACGAGAACAAAGCACAAACTAAAAACGGGGTTTTCTAGGGGAAAAAAAAAAAAAAAGTCCGTTCCTGTGAGAAGATAGACTTTAAAGATGGGTCATATTCTGTATTGATTCACTAGCCCTAGGAAAGTGCCATTTGAAATTAAAAGGGATTACTTGGAAAGTGAATACAAAGTGAGTTCGAATTTGCATTGTGAAACGTTGATATGCTGTCGATATGCTGTCTTATACTGTTTTACCCTTAGGTTGGGCAGTAGAAACAACCTAGTTGGTTTGTGTCCTGGAGCAGATACTCCAGGAAAAGGTGTGTGTTAGAACAAGGTTTGCTTCTTAACTTACTTTTACACACTCTGGTTCTCCAGCACTGTAATGTCTTGCTGACACCGAGCTGGAGCACGCACAGGTATCATCAAAGTGTCCTTTTAGAGGTGTAGTATAATATGGAGCTGTTGCTTGTAATGCAAGTTTCCTGTAGCCGGGCAAATACAGGGTGTCTGTCATTCATCATAAGAAATTATACATGAAATGAGAAGTAACTACCCATGAGAGAGGATGGTGGTTATTGGGTTTTGCTTATGGATCTTACCTGCACTCTTATGACAAGTTCAGTACTGCCAGGGTATATTCTGAGACTTGTTGTTTTTAATGTCTCTGTTGATAACCTGGATGAGGTCATTGAACCTCTCTTTGGGTTTGCAAATGACACCTAAGATTGTGTTATTGCAGGTGTTTGGAAGTCATGTACTCTGTTTGTTAATGCTGATGTATTTAATGATGATTCTAAACTTGTCAGTCTCAATTTCAAGCATCAAAAGATAAATTAATGACAGACTGGGAGAATTTAGTGATACACATTTTTACCATTAGGCTTTGGAGTAATCTAGTTCAGTTCACAGTCACTGATGAAAGGTGATCTTGCTCCAATAAATCTTCTCCAAGGCACACTAGATGCTGTGCCAGATTCCCTTCTCTTCCAAAATGTTTTTCACATATGCTTTTATTTTTTTATTTTTTTTTTCATGTTTCTGTCTTTTCACTACATTTAAGCTATACACAAAGGTGTAGGTAAGTTTAGATCATAGCTTCTTCTCTGTTGCAGTTGAGTTGAAATAGTGAAGTTTTTCAAAATAGACTTTCTTTGCACAAGTAAAAAGCATTTTTAGGTAATTGAAATCACGGACAACTTTGAATTTAAAATAATAGTATCAAGTACTTTTCTTGTTAAAAGGGTAAAGTTTAATATATATTAAAGAAATATTTAATGTTTAAGTGTGTATCTTGAGAAGGATTGTATCTGGAGGGAGGGAGAGGACTGAAGTTTTCATAAGTTTAACTCCTGTGTGAGGCAATGTGTATCTTTCAGTTTATATGTTTTGTACGTATTTGATGCACTATAGAGGTTACAGCATACCACGTTGGACATGAAAAATTAATTTTCTTTTAACCTTGTGTTGATATGGAGGAAATTTACTTCTTTTCTTTTTTTAAATGTTGACTATTATTATCCAGATTTCCATCATCTTTGTATAAGTTATTAAAACTTTCCTTACCTTCTTTTCAGGATTTATTTGGGGTGAGCATGGTTGTTCCTTTAATGAATCTTCATATTAAATCTCTCGGAGCAAGTCATACGGTGGCTGGAATAATAGGTGAGTTGTAGTTCTTGACTGATTTACCAGAGAATAAGATAAGGTCTGGATTATGCAGTAAGTCCAATTTACTGCAAGTTGGACATTGTAACATAATTCTTCCTTGCTAAAAGCACAATTAAAAGTAAGGACAACTCCCTAGTAAAACTGTAAGGGCAGAAATACTGTGTTAGACCCATAGACTTGTCCAAGTGTGCATACTGACAGTAGCCAAAAGCACATGCTCGGGTAAGAGTACACTTTGGAAAGAACAAGGAAGGCTTGCAGTAACATTTGTACAGATGCTTTTCCAGCATTCAAGAATTCACAGCTCAGCAATTTAGGGAGCCAGAGGTGTTGCTTCTAGTTTTATTGTTATTTACAGACTCTGCAAGCAGTACTTCTGTATCTGGTTCTCCAAAGCTTTCCAAAGGCCATGATTGGTCCCAGTTTGATTCAAATCCTTGCACCTGCCTTGGCAAAATATTTATTCACTTTAAGGAGTGTTTACAAGTAAATTCTGAAGATTGGGAATTTTATCTTAAAATATTAAGTGATGAGTTCTGTGGGTTTAAAGTTCTTTAAAGTACGTTGTATGGTAATGTTTATGATTTGGAGTGGTACAAGTATGATATTCTTTATAGCTATGTGTGGTTGACATGGGCCCTGTTATTCAGTTTTTTATTATATTGCTTTTCTATTTTAGCACTTTTCATGAAATAATTCTTGTTCTACACTGACTTGACAGTATTATTTTAAGCAACAATTAATTAGAAATATGTCTTCAACAGTTTGATTTTTAACTTTAAAAAAAACTGGGGTTCAAGCTATATTCTTATAAATAAGACAGTCTGGCAGATATTTTTGTCTGCTTCTCTTTGTTCATTCTTTTTTATCTCTTAACTGCTGATAAATTTCTAGTCTCCAAAATGAAAAAGTAGGGTCTGTGGTTTGTTCAAAGTATCTGTGGTGCCTTGTAGTTGGTTGAAGTGCCAAGTGGAAAATAATTAGTCCCTCCCAGTAATGAAATTTTCTCCTAATTCTGAGAAAGCAACTATAAATGCCTATATCTGTTTTGTTTATTACACCATTCAGAGCAACATCATTCTACCTTAATTAGTTTTACAAGTTTTCAGCACTTTTTTTTGTCATTCCTGAAACTATTTCCTTGATTATGTGCTAAACTCCACTTTTGGTTTGTTAATGCTCCCTCTTCCCATTCTTCCAGTAAATTATTCCCAGAATTTCTCTCATTTTTTATCATTTAAAATTTTGTATAGTTTTCATTTAAAAAAAAAAAAAGTTTAATTTTCAACACTGGTATTTTATTTGGTTTAGGATCTCTCTATGGTGTAATGCAGCTGTTTTCCAGCACATTTGTGGTAAGTTCCAACACTGCATTCCAGAGCATGTTGGTATTTCTATGGATTGTAGGGGGAAAAACGATGAGGCTAATAATGGTGTTTCTTGACATTTTGAAAATGCATAAAGTGCTCTTATAAGCATTTTTGATTATAGGAACAAGTTTTTAGTTTGTGTGAAAAATGTTTGTTTCATTTATAGTGAATTGCCAGATTTCTCAGACCCAAACAGAATACAGTTTTTAGACAAAAGTTAGAATACAGTTTTAGGCTCAGATATGTTACTGAGCACATCAGAGTCACAGAGGGTTATCTTCAGCGTTGGTGCTGGTAAAGCAGTTGCCTTCAGTGCAGTAGCCTGTCCAAAAACCAGTCTAGTGAGTCAACCCTTCATAAGCCTGTTATCTATTTTGCTTTCCCTGCCTAGTGAGCAATGCCTTGTAATTCAACATATGGTCTAAATTAATGCATTGCATCTTTGCTTTTTGTTTGGTTTTGTTTTCTATTAGCTGTTGGTTTTTTACATCCTAATATTACCCTGGTACTAGTTTTCTAACTTTCAAGGACACAGATTTTGAACATCTCATGAAAAAAACTGTTTCAGGGTTTGTTACACAGGCCATCTGGGATAATTCGCCATCCTTGTGGCATTTTCTTGGAACTGCAAGACCATTGTCTACTTTCTTTAAAAAAAACTTCATTTTTGAAATCATGCTGATTTTTAAGCATTCTAATTGTAAGTTTTGTGTTTTCCCTTTGCATAACTACTTCTTACCTACATGCTCAGATGACAAACTCCTCATAGCTAAGATCATTTTAGGATGTTCAACAAGTGTCTAGTACACATCAGCCATTGATGCAAACAGATATTTGTGGTTGGTCATGATAAGGTTTTCAGAAGGCCCCTACTGCTAATATTTTGGGGTGTTTATTGCAGGACTATTTTTAAAAGGGAGAAATTGTTTTTTAAAAAGCTCTATACATAACATGAAGTGTAATCATAGTTTCAACAGGTGCACTGCCAACAGGCCAGAACTCTGCTGGGGACTTCCAGATTTTGAGCACTTAGGAATGTTGTGCAATAAACTTATTAAGCTTTCATTGACAATCCTTTGATCTCTTTTCTCAGTTTAACTTAAAAGTACTGATTGTTCATTGTACATAGCTTAGTGTTATAAAAAACTAATCTTTCTTTCCTGCTTTGTAAAAGGGCTGCTGGAGTGATATAGTAGGAAGACAGTATTCCTTGCTTGCCTGTATTCTTCTCAGTGCACTGGGTTACTTCCTTCTTGGAACATCCACCACAGTGTTGCTGTTTGCCATTTCTAGAGTCCCTGTAGGTGAGTAAACACTTGGCATCTTGCAATTTAAATTCCCTCTAGTCTTAGCTTGAGAGTTACTACAGGAAAAAAATCATATATGGATGGCTACATCATCACCCAGCAGCACCAACTGAACCTTAGTAATGGAAAAATCTCTACAAATCAAGAATTCTCATGACTTTTTCCTGAAAATAGTTTGAAATGTTGTTGTGACTTAACCCACCGGGCAGCTAAACTCCACAAAGCCACTTACTCACTCCCCTTCCCACAGCGGGATGTGGGAGACAGTCATAATTTAAGAAAGTAAAATTCATGGGTGAAATTAAAGACAATTTAATAGGTCAGAAAAGGAAAGAAATAGTAATAATAATAAAAAAGAATTAGAATATGCAAAGCAAGTGATGTACAATGCAGTTTCTCACCACTCGCTGACCAGTACCCAGGCAGTTTCTGAGCAGTGGCCCCCACACAGCTCTCCCTTTTATTTATATGCTGAGCACAACACCATATGGTATGTAATCTCCCTTTGGCCAGCTGGGGACAGCTGTCCTGGCTGTGTCCCCTCCCACCTTCTTGTACACCCCAGCATATGCACTGGTGGGATGGGGTGAGAGTCCTTGAGTTAAGCTAAGCACTGCTCAGCAACAACTAAAACAGCATAGTGTTATCAACATTATTCTCATCCTACATCTAAGAAGAAAATTAACTCTATCCAGATGAAACCAGGATAAATCTATACTCAACAACTGTCACAACTTTTATGCCACCTTGAATGGCTGAAATTCACGAGAACTGGAGTGCAACAATATCTTGAAAGAGGCTATTGTAAATTTAGTCATAACAGGTACACAATATACCCGGTGACTGCTGGAAATCTTGGCCTGCAGTTGCAATGGAGAATGGAATGATACATGTGTTGTGGGTTTTTTATGCTGAAAATATACTTCAAAATGATACTAGAAAATTTGGCTGAAGTTTGAGGTCATTGCTTCAACCAAACATTTATGTTGTAAAAAGCATGTATGTTTGCAGCACAGAAGTGAACTTTGTGCCAGGGTATGTATCAGAGTTCTTAAAATAGTTGAACACCTACTGAGCATATCGTGATACAATAAGCATTGCTATTACTAAAGGGCACTGTTATGGCCCATAGTTTTGATTTTAGAACTCCTAATATTTCTAAATTTAAAGACAATTTGCTAATGAATTGCTTGGTTGAAATTTGATTAGATGAGTAGTAGATGTAGTAGTTTTTAATCCTAACATCAGAGTGACTGTGACAGCATTGCCATGGTCAGAGAAAAACCACATAAAGAATTGCATTATTAATATTCTTGCAGTAATGCCTAAGCTTCTCTGCTCTTCTTTTGCCACTCACCAGTTTCCTGTATGAACTTGGTGTGTTATAATCTTGGCACTCTTCATATTCAGCCAAGTTGGTACAGAGTTATGTCCATAAACAGAGAAGACATTTCTACTCCATCAAGGTTCCTGTATTAGCAGCTATTTTATTCCTAGAGTGCTTCAACACATGACTTAGTTCTTCTTTCATTAGGGCTACAGGAGCACTCTTTGACACGGATGCCTGAATAATTTTGATTCCTATGTCCAAATCCTTGCCAGGATTATGGTCATGGCCCAGTGTACTGCATGGCTCTAGCATTGAAGAATTTGTGATTAATGGGATCTTAAAAATATAAATCATACAGATTTTGACCATTGATATTTCTGATAGCTTCTGTCATCTTTAATCTTTTGAACAATACATGCTTGTTATTTTGTTTATATTGTGTTGCAGGTATTTTCAAACACACACTGTCTATCTCTAAAGCCCTGCTTTCTGACTTGGTTTCGGAGAGAGACCGCCCTTTGGTAATGGGACGCTTCAATGCAGCCTCTAGTGTGGGCTTCATTCTGGGGCCTGTGGTTGGTGGCTACCTTGCAGAGTTGGAAGGTGGCTTTTATCAAACATCCTTCATCTGTGCCTCTATCTTCCTTCTGAATGGTGGTAAGTTATATGTCGCATTTTGCATCTTGGATCCTTTCATTCAGTACTTTTGTGGTTTTAATGCCATCTGTAATACCTTGAATTCATAGTGTGTTTATCATCTGTGGCATAAATGTTCTGTATACCGATACTACTCTTTGAATTTGAACCTAAGTGGAAAGAATTTTGGGAATTTTGGAACAGTTAGCCTCTAGGTGCTTCTTTGTGTTGCTTATATCCCCCTTTACATTCAGACACAAATAGGAATGTTTGATGTGCCTAAAGATCAAGACTGGAACTCAAAATTTTGACTTTAGTCTTTTGATTTGTTCATATGCTATGAGTGTGGCATCCCACTGTTTTCCTTTGTTGCTTTCAGTGTATTAAAAATTGAACTGATACTGTGAATAACACTAGCCTTAATGATTGCAATTTTTTAAGTGAAATTATTGTTGAAGTCTTTTTTTGAATTGTTACAGTCAAACTAATGTCTTTACAGGAAAGTTGATGCAATCAAATGAAATAAAATGATTTTTTGATTTACATAGGTCTTGTTTGGATGTTACCCTGGAATGAAGAAAACACTGCCAACCGGGAACATCAAGACAAGGGAACAAATAGTTTCTCAACAAAAGCAAATCATGACCTGCACTTGAAATCAGCAGCTAATAGAGTTGTGACAAACAATAATGTTTTCCAGTCTCCATGGATCCAAGTTGCAACAGTGTTGAAGAAGATTAAAGAGATTGCATGCTCTAACTTGTGGGATATATTCTTAGTGCGGTTTCTGATGTCTGTGGCTATACTGCTGTACTATAGCAATTTCACTCTGGCCTTGGAGGAGAGATTTGGGGTGAAACCCTTGTTCTCTGGATACTTAACAAGCTATAGCAGTGCACTTGGAGTCCTGGCTGGTTGTCTGCTCGGACCAATAACAAGGCTCTATCAGCACAACACTTACAGAATTCTGTTGCACTCCAGCACTTTCACCTGCACGCTGATTCTCCTGTACGCGTCAGCACTGAACATATGGATGGTCATTTTGTCTTCCACATTCTTAGCCTTTTCAACTACTATAGGTCGTACTTGTATCATTGATCTTGAATTGACCATTGGTGGGAATGAGGCCAGTGGCACACTTCTAGGTGTTGGACAGTCCGTGACATCAGTGGGACGTATAGTTGCACCACTCCTTTCTGGAATTGCGCAGGAGTTCAGTCCTTGTGGCCCTCCAAGTCTAGCTGTTGGACTAGCTTTAGTAGCTATTCTGATAATGAATGCAAACAAACAAAAATATTGTAGTCATGGAAACGTGAAGTTAAAAAATCAGTAGGCACAATTTTGGATTGCACAGATGTATCTTGACATGCCAGGCTTGTACAGTGGTTACATGATCTTTTAAGAGGGCACATTGTGTTCATGTGGAGGCAAGTATTTCTGCTGCAGGGATGTTAACTCTAGATAAATGTTATTCTAACTGGTACCACTAGAACTTGTAAGAGGGACCTATGTTGCTATATTGTACTGGCTGTGATTTTCTTTTTTTTTTTAAATGGATTTTTAACCCTTTTTGAGGGGAAAAAAGAGTATCATGAAAGCACGAATCCTGCTTGTAGCTCCATTTGAAACAGTCTTTAGATTGAGAGACTGTTTAAATACAGAAATTAATTCTTGTTATTTATTCAAAGGTGAATATTTGTTATTTAATCAGAAGGAGAATTTGCAATATGCTTGTTGGCCTTAATTTTTTATGCTGTGGTCAGTTGCCATTTGTCTGCTGTGACAGTAGCTCAGTTAACAAGATGTTTGCTTATGTGGTTTTTTTGAAGCATACTTTGTCTACAAAACTTGCTGTGCACCATGATCAAGCACTTTGGGTTCATCCAACCCCTGCCAATTCCTGGTCTTTCCCAGGTAACAGAATTGGGTATATGCTAACTTTGTGTATTAGAAGACCTAAAGTGGATAATTTTAAAATAATACAAGCCGATTCAGACTGATACTGAGGCTGAATGTGAGTTTTACTGAACTTTGAACTGGTGTTTTTTGTTTAGTAATAACTTCTACTGCTCGATTTTGTCATAAAATATTTGTTAATATTTCCTGTGCAATTTTTCAGCCTTCATTTTAAGAATAAATTTCCCTCTTAATTCTTTTGAATGACTGTAAAGGTGTGCTGGAGCAAGTAGCAGTAGTTCATGGATATTGAATAATCCTCTCTCATCTCAGGCATAAGTGACATTTCAGTGACAAGAGAAAAATTTTTGTTTGTATTTTAGTCATTGTTTGCATGGCTTAACTAATGAGAGGTTAGTCTCAGAGCTATACTGGAAGTTGTAGCACTGCTGTGCTATTAACTGTTCAAGCTCATTTTACTTGCCACTCACCAGTGTTTGTATTTCATTTGAAACAAAGGAAAAATGTATTTTTCACTGATAAGGTTCCATATGCTCTTCCTAATAATACTTGATGAAAGTACAAAGTCAAGTATATGTAACTGTTGGGTTAAGGGAGGGTTTGGCCAAAAACAATTTAGTTATCTTCTTGAACACATCTGTACAAACACTGTTGCTGCTCCAGGTGAGTCATAGATGGTGTTTGGCATTTTTTATTTTCATTTCTTCTTTACCTTTTCCAGTGCCTGCCAGTGTTCAGATATTTGTTGAAATATTCCAGTGGCATCACTATGGAAAAAAAAATTATATATATATATATAAAACTGAATTGGTTCAATTTTATATAATTAACGTAATCGGTGTCTTATTACTGCTATGATTCCAGTACATAACCTCAGAGTTCTTTATTACAATAATCTGTGTTTCAGTTCTCCCTAGGAACCTGAGGCATTTTCAAGTGTCTTATCTTTTCTTGCCTTGTTTGGTAGATGCCTCAAAACATTGTTGCTCTAATTTTCCTGTTTTCTTTCTTTCCATCTTTTCCTTATTTTTTTCTTTACCTAAAACCTTACTGTAAATCAGAAACTTCTGTTTTTCGTCTCTAGCAAGGGGTGAAGGAAAAGAGTAGGAAAAAAGCTTCAAAAATTAGTATATATGAATGATTTAGTAATTTTTCCAATACTTGTTGGTTATGTGAGGTAACATTTACCTAAGGTGTTGCACTGATTAAGTCTGACTTCTATGAACACATACAGCTGCTTGAATATTTTTTACAAAATTTTTACAACTTCACTGGTTTATATAGAAGTGAAAAATGTGCTTTCCCCTCTAAGCAAATTTTGTTTTATTTTGAAAAATGGTGCTCCATATAAGCTAAATAAAAATGAAGTTAAATACTAAAATTGAGAAATCTATGGAAGCCTGTGGTCTTGGGGGCATGTTGCAATACACATTACAGAAGATAAGTTTTTAACTTTTAGGCCAAAATGATTTCTGAAGTGCCACAGAAACACACCTTCTTTATACAGCCCCAGGTTCAAAAAAGTCACACTATTTTTTTTTTTTTTTTAAACTATTAGAAATGAAGTGGCATTCCACATGCATCATCTTGTCATTGTGCTTTTTCCCCTCTTCCTCTGCTGAAACTACAGCACAGTACAGAAGTGTTCTAGTCAATATGAAGTGCAGATAATTTTTTCTCTTCCAACTATGATTCATATGAGCATTTGAATCTGCCTCCATTTCACGTAAAAAGCACAGGAACCAAGGATTCAGCCAAGAAGAACTTAGCAATTTTGAGATGAAGTGCTTAAAGCTGTTGTTCCTAGTGCCTGGAGACAACATTTGTGTCCCTTGTGTTGCCTCTTAGTTGCCATAACTGTGCGAGTTCAGAGAATGATGATTCAGTGATGTTCCCAGAGATGAGATGTGACTCCCCTTTTCAAGTTGAGGGAGGAGCAGTTGCAGCTATTTTTGGCTACAGTCTAGAGGGCAAAGTACTGAATTACGAAGAAGTTTCTTGAATCCAGTTTTCCTATCTGAAGACTGTAATAAAACAGATCTGAATATGGGCTAAAGGAAGAGAGTTTCTACCAGCAAATCACTGGAAATTAAGATTTTTCTCTTACTTGCTGTTACTTTATTTTGGCTTGGTTTCCTTGGGCATGTAGGAAGGGTAGGGGCTTGATTTGGTTTTGGTTGTTTGGTGGATTTTTGCTTTTTGCTTTTAAAAGTTTTCACTTTGGTAAAAGTGACTTTTCTGACAATTTTGATTAGGCCATGTTGAAAACACTGTGTATATAGGAATATAATATCTGTAAAACAGCTGGCAGCATATGTATTGATTTTGTTGCTTTTAAATGATGAAGCAAATGTAAGATTTTTTTTTTTTTTTCATGCTGGTGTAGGCTGTGTACCTTTGAAGAGATCCTTTATGAACATACCAATTGTGGTGGGTTGACCCTGGCTGGACATTAGGCCACCATAGACACTGTATCACTGTCCTCCTCAACTGGGCAGAGGAGAGAAAATATAACAAAAGGCTTGTGAGTTAAGATAAGGACAGGGAAAGATCACAAACTGATTACTGTCACGAGCAAAACAGACTTGACTTGGGGAAATTATTAAATCTATTACCAATCAATCAAAGCAGGATAATGGGAAGTAAAATAAATCCTAATTTTCCACACACCCCTCCCTTCTTTCTGGGCTCTACCTCCTCCCCTGCTGCAATTCAAGGGGGTTACAGTCAATTCATCCCATGTTGCTGCTGCTGCTTCTTCCTTAGGGAGAGGAGTCCTTTGCCTGCTCCAGCATGGGGTCCCTCTCATGGGAGACAGTCCTCCACAGGCTCTTCCAACGTGAGTCCTTCCCACAGACTACAGTACATGAACTGCTTCAGCATGGGTCCCTTCCACACGGTGCGCTCCTTCAGGAACAGGCTGCTCCAGAACAGGTCCCTCACAGGGTCAGAAGTACTATCAGTGTACCTGTTCAAGAATGGGCTCCACTCTCTCTGGGTCCATAAGTCCCTGCCAGGAGCCCTCTCCAGTGCAGGTTTCTCACAGGGTCACAGCCTTTTGGGCATCCACCTGCTCTAGCACAGGGCTCCTTCATCGGCTGCAGGTTGATATCTGCTCCCTTGTGGAGCTGCAGGGAGACAGCTGCTTCACCATGGGCTGCAGGGGAATCTCAGCTCTGGTGCCTGCAGCCCCTCTTCCCTCTCCTCCTTCACTGACCTTGGGGTCTGCAGAATGGTTTCACATATTCTCACTCCTCTCTTCTCTGGCCACAATTACTTCTGCACAATAACTTTTTCTTTTTTTTTCTGTCTTAAATGCGTTATCCCAGAGTCATTACTATCATCACTGATTGATGGCCTTGGCCATCAGCGAGTCCATCTTGGAGCTGGCTGGCATTGGCTCTGTTGGACACAGGGGAAGCTTTTGGCAGCTTCTCGGAGAAGCACCTCTATAGCCATCCTGATACTAGAACCTTGCAATGCAAACCCAGTACATCAATTCTGCAGAATTCAGTTTCTTATCTGGTTTTCTTTCCTCTAAATTTACTCAACACAGCATCATCACAAAGGTTACTACCATCCTCATTTTCTGAAAACAGGTTGATTATTGAGCAGGTAAGGCAGCAACAAAACAGGACAAGTGTTGCTTATGAACTGACTTGCTTTGTTACTTCAACTACTTTGTAGTGCCATCACATTCCTGCTGATGGGAACCTCTGTGGTATGTGGAGGTGCTGCCAGTCCCCATTTGGTTATGGGTGTTGTGGGATGCCCTGGAGTAAATGATCCTTTATAGCTTGGCAATTTAGCATTTGAAAACACAAGACTTGCCGGTGCTGTTACTGCTGTAATATTGAAGATTCATTCACAAAGAGCTGATCATGAATGAGTATACTGGAGCCTGAGCTTTGAGAATTAAATTATTGTGAGTGAAGGTCAGACTGCTTTTAAAAATTAAAGAGTGTAGAGCTTGTTTTAAAGGGAAGTCTTGAGAAACTTATGTGTTAACTCAGAGAAATTAATCCAAATTTCTAATTATTTTAAATCGCAGCATCAAAGAACTATTTTCTGAAATGTGCTTCACAATAGGAAAGTCTTTCATCCTTCCAAATGTGTAATAGATGAAAAATAAATACAGTAAACTGGAGTATTTAAAATGACTTTTCCTTTTTGTGGCAAAAAAAAAAAATTACTTCTTGAAACAAAACCTGTGGCAATAAGGATGCTGTTGTAACAAATGACAAATTTAAACCTGAGCACATGAACCGCTGAGGGTCACCAGCAAAGCCTTTTAACTACTGCTTTCCCTTCTGCAATTTATGTCCCTCATATTCTGCCAAGTCTCACAGGATAAAAAGGTTTCCACATGTAAGTGCTCTGTGGGAACTATATCAGGGTTTGCCATCTTGGGAAAGGAATAATGCTAAACCAATCTCCCCTTGTTTATTAGATGGTCTGGCCATCTAATAGGTAGGCCAGGAGGGAGATGAAACTCTTTGACTTTAAAGTTTTAAGAGAGTCTTCATGGCCAT